TAATTTTTTTTAAATCTCTAATATCAGTTAATAACTGTCATGGTACCAATATATTGAATTCATAGTGTCTCTACTTATAGTAACAGTGATTTAAGTACATATTAAAGTTGATCACACTGTATGACATAAGAAACAGCTTGTATGGATCCATTCATAGCACAAGTTTCTCAAACCTAACTTAACAAACATGGATGCCAACAGTGTAAACAAAGACACCATGTTTTGTTAAAGCTTGTTTTCCATGTTTTGTTAAAGATGCTGCTTTTTTTCCACCTGTAATGTGTGGGCTGCACAAAGACCACAGGGCTGATGTGACCATCTATGTGTGGAGAGAGACAGACTGGCATCAAAATATGCAAATACACCAACTGTATTAACAACTAGTTGTTCAGTTCACTTCTGTACAACTCCTGAGAATTAAGATAGTGAAGATCACAATGAAATTATACATTAAATATGTGTCATGTGTACAGAAGAAAACTGAACAACTAGTTGTTAATGCAGTGATGCCACTCACTGACAGCTCCTCTGAGCTGCTGTGTTAGAAAAATCACTGGAAATTATACATTAAATATGTGTCATGTGTACAGAAGAAAACTGAACAACTAGTTGTTAATGCAGTGATGCCACTCACTGACAGCTCCTCTGAGCTGCTGTGTTAGAAAAATCACTGAAATTGAGGTACCTGTCTTGACTCATTTGCATATTTTGATATGGTCTCTGTGCACTGTAGCTGCTCCCACCATCCCTGTGCTGCAGAACAAACCCATACATTACACTGCTTGTTACAGTTGGTTGCATGTTGCAGTTGTCACTGCTCTAAAAATATTGTGAACAGAACAGGATTTAGCACTCAGAAGAGGAGTGACAACTGTATTTAGCTACAGTATGAATGTGGTCGCGGACATCTAATGGGTTTAAAGGTTACAATGTGTAGAAGTAGTAGAACAGAACTAAGTCTCAGGATGTAAAACCACACATACAGCAAGCACATAAACACACACACAGGTGGAAATGGTTGATAAATGGGTCTCATTACTCGTGTGATGTTCTTTTTGGAGAGCTCTATTAGCCCAAAGCTATCTGTACAACAATGGCTCTGAGGCTCAGTATCTGTTTTTGAGTCCAGCTCTCTCAAATGTGGTCCAGTCGTTTCAGCAGAACAAAGAATGCTGCAGAGCTCCCGTATCTGCTCAAACATGTCCCCCCCGAGCCTCCCCTGTCAATCATGGTACATCCATGCTGAATTCTGTGTTTGAAAGTTAAAATGATAGGAAATTAAAGTGAAAATGGGACCACAAGCTAGATTCCAACTTAAAGAACCCACAAGACTTATAGTTAAAATTTTGTCATCATTTACTCACTCATGTTGTTCCAAACCTGTATGATTGACTTTCTTCTGTGGAAAAAATAAAATAAATACAAATAAATAAATAAATAAATAATTAAATAAAAAAACAAACAAAGACGATATTTTGAAGAATGCTGGTAACCAAACAGTTTCAGTGTCCATTGATTTCCATTGGATGTATAAAAATATATTAAAAAAAACAATGGGAACCGAAACTGTTTGGTTACCAAACTTCAAATACTTCTTTGTGTTCCACAGAAGAAAAGAAAGTCATACAGGTCTGTCTGTCTATCTATCTGTCCATCCTTTCACCTCTTTATATCCATCTATCTTTCTATCTGTCCATCCATTCATCAACTATCTATCCATCCATCCATCCGTCCATCTATTTTCAAAACTTTTAATCAAGATTTTTTTCAAGTCAACATTCAAAGCTTGTATAAACAAACTGCTTTTCTATTTCAATTGTTACATGAATCTCTTTGAATTTCAGTTAATTTTACAGTTAACACTTCTGTAATTCTATATCCTGTTTGCAACCTCAAATCAAATTCAATGGAAATTCAGTAACTGAACTTTCCATTCACTTCTGAATTGCTCAAAACCCAGCCACTAAGCCACGCCTTCAACTAAATCAACATAAAATAACACTTTTTTTGTTTCCTAAAGAATTATGAACTATATAGTGCTGGGTTTTATGGACTGTATAAAAATGAGTTGTCCACAAAATATCAACATAAAACAGTAAACACCTCTATCACACTTCATTTGCAATTGAGTCGGCCTCTCCACACCCTGCTGTTGGCTACACAGCCAAGACTGAGGAGTTTTTATTTGCCAATTAGTAACAACTTCACAGCAGCGTCGAGTAAAGCTGCTCTCTCAGACCCAGTGGGTTTGGAAGCTGGGGAGTAGCGTGGGGAGGAGAATCGGGATGGGGTAGATTAGGGCTGGGAATGGGAAGGTGGAGTGAGGATAAACTTGGCAGCCATGGCTGCTGATATACGTATTTGGCATGTGAAACGCTTTATGCCTGCCAAGACCTGATTGCTTGGCAGGAGGTTTACTTTTAAACTCTGGGCACGGTTTAATGCGCCTATTGCAATATATCTTGCAAGATAAAGCATTCATAATTCCAACTGCCATGACTGAATTATGAAGATGTGAAAACAAACTGAGGTTTCAACACTCTTTGTATGCCATAAGTTAAAGAAATCTGTGAAATAATGTCACTTTTATCCCAGGAACTACTGGTGTTTCGTAGTTTTATACTTACGTTCACTACCGACGGTGCTGATGGGCTCCAGGTCCTGAGGGAAGGGCGTTGCACCATGGCACAGATGTTTTAGGCAGGTGAGGGTGAGCGTGAGGGTCAAGGCCAAGAGGGGCCGCAACCCCAAAATCACCAACCTCATTTCAGCTAGAGCATAAAAGTCAGCCACACAGCATGACCCAGAGTAGACTGAACACCACCTGAAAAGACAACAAACGAGAGCGATCATGACAATGGCTGTTTTAAATATGGTCACTGCGAACCTCACTAAAAAGGATTTTTGTGCTTCTACCTGACTGAACAACTTGCACATGCGACTGAATGATTGTGAAAGTCACTGGCATGTCGTTCCAAATCTGTATGACTGTGGAACACAAAAAGAGAAATTTTTGAATTTGCACTAGCTGCTCTTTTACATCCAATTACAATGAAAAGGGCCGAGGCTTTTAAGCTTCAGAAAGTGTTGACTCATATGTACTGTACCACTTTTAGGATACTGATATGGTTATTTTGCGTCATTTTTAAAGCTTGAAAGAAATGTGGACTAACTACTTTGTAGTGTTGTCAAAAGACACGGTACTTTGGTACCAAGTCGGTACTAAAAAAATGAAAACGTTACGGTACCAGGTTTTTTTAAGTACTGGTGGTACCGAGTACCCGGTCAACCCGGTTCTTGATGCGCTATCAGAAAGGTGCACAGATGCGCTCTCTACATAAAAGCACTGAGACGTGGCGACATCAAAAGGAGGAAACACACCAAACTAACAAAACACTTTAAAGACAGACACCCGGATCAAATGAAAGAGTTGAAGCAGGTAAGTTTCATTTTAATTTAAAATTTTTAATATTTATCTAATATCTTAATATTGATCTTGTGTTTCCCATACATTGATTTATTTGTGGCGGCTCGCCACAATATCAAAACTGACCGCCACAAATAGATTTTCCAAAAGGCTTTGACTTCATTGAACAAACATGAGCACTGCACGTATCAAAGTCGAAACCCGCTGCGGGTGTTTTTATATCACTGTATTTCTGAAGGAAACCGACTGTCTTC